CATGCAGGTGCCCGGTTTATGGCATTAGGAAGCAGAAACAAGGCCCCGAGAACAGGGGACTCCTGAGTAGGACCTGGAAGGTGGGGCCGCTCCTGGGACAGGGCTTTTTCCAGAATCACCACTGCGATCTCTCAGCCCAGAGCGGGTTGGGGGTGGCGGGGGGCGGCGGGTGGCGACGGCGCAAATGATTTCCATCACCAGCCCCCTCGGCCCCTCATCTGCTCGGAAAGGGGGAACTGGGACAGGGCCTCCTCGTCCTTCCAGGAGCAGAGAAGGTGCAGTTACAGAGGACAGCTTCAGAGAAGTGAGTCAAGCGTGGAAAAAGCCATAAGGAAAGGAGGCCCTTTCCAAGGAAGTGACAGCAGATTCGCGAACGGAATGACTCACACGCTGCTCTCCAACTGCGGCTGAGTCACTAGGAAGCCCTTAAACCTCACAGCCGAGTCCTCCTTCAGGAATCCACACTGAGCCTCCGCATCCCCGACTCACCGACCTCGCGTAGCCTCGCCGAGGCCCGAGCCAGTCACCGTCTGCAAAACACCACTTAGAAGTGCTTGCTGAAAGGCCTGATTCAACTCCAGGTTTCTCCCCAGTGAATCATGAGTCTGGATGGTATAAATAATTATAAATGCATTAGAAACAGGCGTTGATTAAAAATATAGAGATGGCGCCCGGCCAGTGTGGCTCAGTGGTTGAGCGTCGACCTATGAACCAGGAGGTCTGGGCTCGATTCCCGGTCAGGGCACATGCCCTGGTTTGGGGCTCGATCCCCAGTAGGGGGCGTGCAGGAGGCAGTCGATCAATGAGTCTCATCATTGATGTTTCTATCTCTCTCCCTCTTCCTTCCTCTCTGAAATGAATAAAAATAAAAAATACAGAGAGAGAAATGCCTTCTAGCAGGAACCTGTATTTCTGAGCCCTTCTTTAGGAGGTGGGTCCCTTGAAGGAAGACATTGAACACCAACCAAGGAAGGAGGAGGAAGCGGCCTTGACCGCACGTCTACCAATTAAGGAGGAAATGTTCAAAGTAGAGAGCCACCAGGTGGTTCATTATATAAAAGCCATTGCCCTAACCGGTTTGGCTCAGTGGATAGAGCGTCAGCCTGCAGACTGAAGGGTCCCAGGTTTGGTTCCGGTCAAGGGCATGTACCTTGGTTGTGGGCACATCCCGAGTAGGAGGTGTGCAGGAGGCAGCTGATCGATGTTTCTCACTCTCTCTCCCTTCCTTTCTGTAAAAACTCAATAAAAAATATATATATATTTTATATGCCATTAACAATAGCTGTGGCCGGGTGGCTCAGTCGGTCGGAGCGTCATCCTGTGCACCAAGGGGTGGCGGGTTCGCTTCCCAGTCAGGGCACATACCTAACTGCAGGATCGATCCCCGGTTGGAGCTCATACAGAAGGCAACCGACCAATGTTTCTCTCACTCCCCCTTCCTCTCTCTCTAAAAGCCAATAAAAACATGTCCTCAGGTGAGGATTAAAAAAAAGTTAACAACAGGTGGAATTCTCTGGAGACCGGGCCTGAATTATGCGGCCTAAGAATCTAGATTCGGCTGTTTCAGAACCAGAAACAAATGGGTGACCCAGGAATGTTCCCAGGAAATGGTGACCCACGTCCACTCCAAGACGGTAACCATCAACGTCGGGCCAAGCCCAGACTTCCGCGAGGCTTCGAGAATGAGTGGCGGAAAACAGCGGTCGCCACGGGAAGCTCGGAGACGGGGAAGGAGATACGACATCAGATTTGAGTGTCAGGAGACTCCCCACCCCGCCATACACACATACACACCCTTTGCAGAGGGCAGTGTTGCTGTCGGCCTCAGGGAGTTGGAATACAGATAAGCAGTAATCATTGCCCTGGACCATGCAAACCTTATGGGTTTTACAACGCGGCCTGAGACCCTCCTAACATTTGCCAGCTGGGTGTCCACGGGACAGCCGCGCGGAAGACTGGACCCCACGGTGGGCAGGGGGCGAGACAGGCCTGCTGTGTCTCGTCAAGGGGATTTCCCATCCTGCTCAGGGCAGAGGCTAAGTTGTTCCCAGAGGCCTGGAGAGGGGTCCGTCCGGGGGTTCGTCCCCAGGGGGCTGCTTGGTAGAGCGGGAGGACGGAGAGTTGACAGCTGGAGGACCTGGGTGCCGGTCCCCACGCTACCACTTCCTGGGATGAGGCTGGGGAAGGTACCCACGCCCTCAGGGCCTTGGCTTCCGCTTCTGTAAAAGGAGGGCAAGCAAACGGCCCCACGGGGTGGCCGCTGAGTAAGGGGAGATGTGGGAAAGCATGTTCGGGCCCCCCGGGTGAGGCGCAAACGTGAATCCTACAGCTACTGGGACTCAGTCGTCTCTCTTTTTTTAATCCTCACGTGAGCATATGTTTTTATTTATTTTAGAGAGAGAGGAAGGGGGAGAGGGGGAGAGGGAGGGAGAGAAAGAGAGAGAGAGAGAGAGAGAGGAGGGGAGAGGGAGAGAGGGAGAGGGAGAGGGAGAGGGAGAGGGAGGGAGAGAGAGAGAGAGAGAGAAACAGTGATGGGTTGCCTGCCATGCTCGCCCTGACCAGGGGTCGAACCCGCATCCTAGCATGTGCCCTGACCGGGAATTGAAACGGAAGCCTTTTGGTGTACGGGATGATGCTCCAACCAACAGACCGCCCAGCCAGGGCTTGGCTCTCGTTCTTTTATGTTTGTGGTCACTCATGGTTAAAGTATGTAAAAATTCACAATGATTCAGAGGAAAAAACACTTTCCAAGTCATTCTCGAGGATACGTTCTGAAGGTCATGTGTGTGAGGGCTGCATTCCACAGGAATAAACAGCTCTGCACACTCACCTGAGGTCCTTCCAGCCGCCTTAGAAGCCATCACGTGTAAATAAAGACACGTTATACCCCTGGCTGGTGTGGCTCAGTGGATAGATCGTCAGCCTGGGGATTGAGGGTCCCAGGTTCGATTCTGGTCAAGGGCACATACCCGTTGTGGGCTCGATCCCCAGTAGGGGACGTGCAGGAGGCAGCTGATCCATGATCCTCTCTCATCATTGATGTTTCTCTCTCTCCCTCCCTCTCCCTTCCTCTCTGAAATCAATACAAATACATTTTCTTAAAAAAGACATGTGTTCTATGTGTGTAAAGAGCAGACTGTGTGTCCTGTGTCTGAAAACCACTTCGCAAGCATCGCAAATACTCAAAACACCTTGATGAGAGGAGTGTTTACAACGAGGAGCTACGGGACTCCAATGGGTTCCTGCCTTCTCCCCTCTCCTCCTCATTCCCGGGGGAAATGCCGACAGTCCGACCAACTGACCCTGGGATGAGCGCTGGCCCCTCCGATTTACAGCCTTTCCCTGCGAGCAGGATGCTCCGTCCATATTTGCCTTCCTTCTCCCCCCTCGCCAGGCCTCTAAGTCAACTGAGACTCAGAAGCCAGAATCCCCCCTCCGCCCGGTGATCCCAGCGAAGGTCAGTGTCACACATGCTGCCCCTCTGCGGGCCCTTCGCCTCCGCGCTTCCAGCGATGAAGTGCGGGCACCAGTCCCGGTGGGAACCCGCTGGTGTTTGGGGAGCCCAGGTGCTCCCTCCCCTCCCCCCGAGGCCTTAGTGGCTCGCAGGAGAGTGTGGTATCCAAACTTTAGGATTCCTTGGGAACCCGCTGGTGTTTGGGGAGCCCAGGTGCTCCCCCCTCCCCGAGGCCTTGGTGGCTTGCAGGAGAGTGTGGTATCCAAACTTTAGGATTCCTTTCCCCCCAAAGAGCTATCATTCATCTGTGCCAGGATCTGAAGAGCGAGTGGATGGAGTGGCTTCGGATGCGAGTGGAAGAGGCGTGCCGGGTGGAGCGAGCAGGGCGAGTGCAGGCACAGCTCACTGGCAGGCGAGCACGTATGTGCGGGACCTTTGCTCCCCTCCGAGCTGCGGGCTCACGGCTGACACCGGGCCGGCGCCCACACGGGAGCCAGACGCCTCCTCACGCTCAGAGATTAGGTGGGGACGGGCGCTGGGCTCACCTTAACCGCAGCTGGAGGTCAAGGTCCCCGCCCACAGGAGGCCTCCCAGGTGATAACCTGCGGGCGGAGAGGGCACCGGCCTCCTCCTCTTCCTGCCGATTCCACCCTCAGACAAGCCGCCTCTTCTTTTTCTTTTCCCCAAATATGCGTTTACTGATGTCAGAGAGGAAGGGAGAGGGAGAGAGAGAGAAACATCAATGATGAGAGAAGCATGGATCAGCTGCCTCCTGCCCGCCCCACACTGGGGATCAAGCCCGAAACCTGGGCCTGTGTCGTGACCGGGGATCGAACCGTGACCTCCTGGTTCATAGGTCGACCCTCAACCACTGAGCCACGCCGGCCGGGCTAATTTTTTTCTTTAAACTTGTCCTTGCCTGTCTCCCCTGCGCTGTTATATTCCCGCTGATCCTCCCGCCTCGCCTCCACGTACTATTTCATGTCTCCTGTCCTTCCCTCTGCAGTGTCTCTTCCTGGTCGCTGTAGGACTGGGCCCGACAACGCCCTTGGCAGGGGGCCGGCTCGGCTGGAGACCTTTCGGACCCTCCCCTGCCGCAGACCCCACGGCCGGCCTTCCAGGGTGGAATCCGGCCCAGACCTGCTTCGCCAGGTCTCCCCTGGAACTGCCCTGCCCCCGTCCAACGTCCAACGGGCGGCCCCCTCCCAGCACAGCCACAGGTCTCAGGCCCGGAGCCCCGGGACGTCCTCCTCTCGTCTCCTCTGTGCCCATGAAGCCCCCCTGACAGGTGTACCCCTCTGGGAGCCTCACCCAACCATCACTTGGGTTTCCTTACCCTCATCTTGAATGCACCGCGGGCCTCAGTCAGACGAGGCGGGCACCTTGGGGGGGGGGGGTGTGCCCGAGACGCGGGCCCCGCTCAGATGTCTGCTCCCACGGACCCTCCTGCAGGATCCCCCGCCCCAGCCTCGCAGCCTCCCTGGTTGCCATGGCGCCTGGCACACTGCCCGAGTTTATAGTCATTTCCCTGTGAGATTACAAGCTCCTTGGAATAGGTGGTGCTTTACTCATCTTTTATGCCCCACACGGGACATTATCTCAGAACGTCTGTTGAATGAACAAGCTCAGCAGTTAGGGGCCCCATCAGAGCAACTGACCTCTTGACCCGACGGATGGAGGTGCTGTAAGCCCTCCCCTCGGTCAGCATCGCACCAACCATCCTGTGTCTTAACAAAAGGCCAGCCCGGCCGGCGTGGCTCAGTGATTGACCATCGACCTATGAACCAGGAGGTCAGAGTTTGACTCCCGGTCAGGGCACATGACCGGGTTACGGGCTGAATCCCTGGTGTGGGGCCTGCAGGAGGCAGCCAGTCCATGACCCGCTCTCATCACTGATGTTTCCATCTCTCTCTCTCTCCCTCCCGCTCTGAAATCAATAAAAAAATATTTTTAAAAAAGTTCACGTGGGTTCACCTCGTTGTTCATCAAACGTTGTGCGAAATCATGGGAGAGTTCACAGCTTTGTTAGATAAAATGAAAGCGTCACAGGAAAACACACGGCGCCTACGTCAATATGCGGACCCTTCCCCTGGCGTTTGCATTACAGGCCGACCGCGCCCGCCTTCTGCACATGCTCCTCAAACATGAGGGCTACTCAGGTCAATGTCACACCTGAGCAGAGGGAGCGGGCGGGGGGAAGGGGCTGCCCGAGCCAGCCCCTGGGGCCCCGCGGGGTCTGCTTTTACACACACTCGCTCCTGCTCCCTCCCCCGCTTCCCCAGCCGCCCTGCAGGATCCCTGCTCGCAAACATCGGCCGTCCTGAAATTGCACGTCATCCGCTCGCCACTCATCTCCTTCCAGCCGCAGAGCGGTCCCCTCCCGGCCGCCCACGGCTTTTCCGGTCCCCGGACCTTCTGGGCGCTGAAGTGCCATGTGTTTCTCGTAACCGTGACACTAATGGGTCCCCCCCGCGTGTATGTCATGCCTGGTTCAAAGCCTCTCAGTGCTTTATGACCGCCGGGTTATTAGCATGCCATTAATTGACATAATAATTCCATCGTGTAATTAGCAATTACGCCCTCCACGGAAAAAGGCACAGCTCGGGAACATGAAGCAACAAGGCCCAGGACAGCACAAGGTCAAAACCCAGGGCCGCGCTGGACACACGGTCTCCCAGCCCCGGGCTGCGCTCGCAAGGCCAAGGCCACAGCCGCGCTTCCTTACCTGCCCCCGTGGTGAGCTCAGAAACAGGCCCCGAGGAACCGGAACGGGGCAGCGCAAAGAGAATGCCATCTCCTAACATAGCCCTGGCCGGTGTGGCTCAGTGGGTAGAGCGTCGGCCTGCGGACTGAAGGGTCCCGGGTTGGATTCTGGGCAAGGGCAAGTACCTGGGTTGCAGGCTCCTCCCGGGCCCAGGCCCTGGTCAGGGCATGTGCAGGAGGCAGCCGATCGATGTGTTCCTCTCACATCAATATGTTTCTCTGTCTTTCCCTCTCCCTTCCACTCTCTCTAAAAATCAATTGAAAAATATCCTCGGGTGAGGATTAAAATTAATTAATTTTGAAAAATAACATCATACATCTAATCCCCAGCTGCTCGGTTCGCTGAACAGTTGCCGTGCCTTCTTATGTCTCTCTGTCCGGGGAGACCTATCCCTAATCCCTGGCGTGGCCTTTCCCTCCCTCAGAACTCCTGTGCGGCCGCCTCTCCGCGGCTCTCAGCTTTGGGTGCTGAGACACAATTCAGATCATGTCACTGTTCAGATCCAGCCCCCTCCCCAGCC